AGGCAGGGAGCTTTTATTTCTCGGCCAGAGAGAGAGAAAGGGCAACATTTAACCGCCGAGCGGGGGTTTAGCGGCCGCCGGGCTTTTATCCGGCGCCTTACTTAACACGTCGGGTTCGGCCGGGATCTTTCCGACGGCAGAGGAGGAGAAGCGCGGGTTACGGGAGTAAAAGTCCGGCGGAGAACGGCAGATAAAATCCGTTCATCTATTCATGGAAAGTGGGACGACTTCCGGGGGAGGGAAAATTTTCCTTTCCGGTAGACGATTGGCGGAAAGAGAACCAATGCCCAAAGTAAAGACGGGATCGAATTTCGGGCGCAAAAACCAACCAAAAACCCTAGCCGAAAAGAAATATAGAAAAATTTGTCGACCTTCGACTAAGAAAAAAATTACATATAGATATAGATATATATATATATAGATATACCTTAAACCGGAAACATTTTACCGGAGTAATCTATCATTCCGTTCCGCATTCGAAAAGATGGGAAAAGTCGGAAACACGCCCGACTTTTCCATTACGTCCCCCATCGCTCTATCGGGCATGTTATTCCGGCAAGTTCACTTAGTGTCGGTCTCCCCCGGTTTAGTAAAATGAATAGTGGCCCCCCCGCGCTCTCCGCCTTCAGACGCCGGCCGGATATAAAGCGCCGGGCTCATACATAGACTGCTTTTCTAATAGCCCGGGTCGGCGGCCGCCATCGCTGCTTGCAGAAAATTGAATTCTAGCCGCAAACCGAAAACTTATATCTCTATATATTTATTTTTACCGTCAAATGAGGTTTGGGTCAGCAGCTATCGACTGCGTCGTCGGCCCGGGAGCATAAGTTAAGAGATCCCGGACCGGATCGAGTGAAAAGTTAAGTCGGCGGATTGATTGATTCCGCTTTTCTCCGCTCAATTTTGAATTTTAGATGAGTTTTTCCCTTTTAATTTTTAAACTTTTCCAAACTCTTTCCTTCTAAACTTTGATAAAATCCGGTTTTTAAATTAATTCCTCCGCTTTTATTTACTCTCCGTCGAATTTTCCGCTTTGCAAATCGTTTCGAGTGTTTCGGCCGCGCGGAAATTACCGTCTTCCTCCCGCCTTTCTTCCCTTACCCCCACTTTTCCAAATCTTTCTTAAGCTCATCGGCGGATTACCCGGCAAAGCTTCCTTAAACGGATCCCCGGCCTTGGACCCTCCGACCTGTCCGGGAAGGATTCCTCGTCTTTCCGCCCGTCTTACAATAAAGCCGGTTATATTTACCTAACTTGGCGCCGCGCCGGCGGGCGGCGCGGCGCGGGGACGGATCGAAAGCCGAACGGGACTAAACGGTAAAGGTCGATCCCCAGCCCCGCTACTATTTGTAATTGGATATAAATTTCGGGCCGAGGTGGCCCGCGGGCGCAAAGACGGTCACGGCGCTCGCGCCGCTTCGGCGGGGCCGATAAATAACCGCCCGGAACGCCCCCCCTGTAACCGCTAATTAAATGAAAATGAGGAGCGGAACCGACGGCGAAAACCGGGAGAAAAAAAGCCGAGTGGGGAACTTTGACGTCTTGGTCGGCGTGACGTCTTAATTGTGTAGTGACCGCGGCGGCCGGGGCCCGGCCGACTTGATGGATGGCGGTCCGGTGCCGACGGGGGCGACGACTGGCTGCCGACAGCTGTCGGAAATCCTTTTGTTTTCTATTAAAGTGGCTCCTTCCGACTTTTTTGCCTCCGGACAAAAGCTTCTTTTTAAATAATAAAAGTCCCGTCTTCCGAATCCTTCTTGCGCCTCGGCGCGACATTTTTCCCACTCCGCCGGCCTTCGGCCGTTATGGAAATTAACATCGCCGTGGAATTTCCGTCCCGTTTTACTCTAAGCTACCGATAATTCAGTTTTGCTTAAAATTAGTCGCGCGCAGTTTTAATATTGTTTAAATTCGTCAAGATATCGGCCGAAGATTCTTACCGGAGATCCTCTTCTCGGTGATGAAACCGATTAAACCTTTGTTAATTAGAAGTTAAGTTATCGTCTCTTATTCGGACCGAGGGACTCGGCTAGAAATGGGGTGGGAGATGTGGGTTGAAGTTTAATTGCGCCCGGCCACCGGGTGGAAATAAAGTCGACGAATTTCCCTGGGCCTGGCCATTTTGCGGGTAGTTTTTTGAAGACGGACGGACGGACGACGAAGGTGCCTTCTTCGGCGCTGGTGTACGGCCGCCTACTCCGTCTATGAATTACGACGGGTATCGAGCCGAGAGGCGGTGCCGCTAACGCCGGTTTGCTTCGAATGCTTCATCAGATATCGAGGTTAATGGTTTCTCACGATCGTCGCCTCTATCTATCTGCGAAGTGGATTGGACGAATAAGATTACGTGTGACGTAGACACCGGATAGGCTTTTAGAGTGTGTATTATATCCGTCGATAACGAGGCGGTGGAAAGCGACCGGGCGACTATCTGGTTTTTCGTTTAGACCCGACCAGATCGGCCCCCGGTGCCGATAGACTTTTTGATTTATAGGGACGATCGGCATTTATTCGGCGTCGGAATTTTCGGGTGGATTTACGCCGTGTAGTTACGGACCGCCGGCTTGTTAATCGCGGCCGGAATGATTTATTGTATAGTTATATTAAATTTTATTAAGAGTGCGCGTAGGCCCGTCGATATTTTAACGTGTAGAGTGTCCGTTAAATATATAAGCGTTAAATTATAAATAAACACGTATTAAATGTTGCTCCCGCGATTAGCATTTAATAACTGAGGGCAGTTTCAGTTCATATAAGTGTAGAATTGGCGTCGTCTCGCGCGTTATTCTATCTGCGGCATAAAATACAATGCTCCGTAATTGCGCCTAATAAATCTGTTTTGTGTAAATTATCGCATTATTGCCCGTTTAATCCTCCCGATCGATTCGTTTTCTTAAATGATACTTTCGATAATCGTTAATCGTTCTTATTCTATGGAATACCGATAAAGTAACTGACTTCCGTTAGTTCTTTTACCACGCGTCTAAAGGTAAATACGTGGGGCCTTTGACCTCTAAACCTTTGCCCCAATATAAATTCTAGGTAGGGCCTACGTCTTCTACCGGAATTTATCATTTATTTTAATTTTTCCTCGTCGGTGCCATCGACCGGTAACTGCGGCATCTGTACTATACTTTCCGTACGTAAAACAGACAAAACTTCTACTTAAATCACACGAAAAATAATTTTAAATTATTGAATTTTTCACTTAAAGTAGACTAATTCTTTTTCGATGTTTCAACAATTAAATAGTAAAATATTTTTTTCTCGGTCATACAAAATACTAAATTATTTTATTAAATTATATTAAAATTCTACATTGTAAGATCGAGAATTTAAAGCTTGATTTATTCTAATTTTTCTGTATTTCGAGTAAATATAAGATTATTACTCTATACAGACTTACGAGACGACAATAAATTTAAAAAGTCGTTTTTTAACTCTTAATTTTGTATATTAACATTAGTATTAATCGGCGAATATAATTTTGTTAAACTGTATTTCCTCCTTGAAATATTTTAACCGAATCAAATAATAAACATTCCGTTCTACTCCGTTCGATGTTGTGTTACGCGTATTACGCTAGATCGTATAACTTATATACACGACACCAAGCTAATTTAAAAACCAATATAACTTTTTATATTTTCGTAAACTCGGCACAGAATAAGTTTGACAAATTGCGAACGTAAAACGGCCGAAAGTTTCGACCGCTTCTTTTGTTCGCAGATTCGTAAATGTGACACCGGACTTATCAATGTAAAGAGCCGAGAAAGATCGCAATTCATAAAAATGAATAATTTGTGTAGAAAAAAAAATGGAAATTGGATAAACAGCCTTCACCGCGCGGCTTATAACTAAAGAGAATATAGTTCTGTAGAAATCTATCGAAAGCCAATTGGCCGAAAATTCTTGTCAATTCATTTCGGCAAACGACATGATTTACGTCATAACGGAGAGACTAGCGAATTCTATGTTTGGAAATAAACTTAGATTATCACTGGAAGGAGAGGAATTCCTTCTATTTTGATTGTAAAGAATGGTCCAAAAATACTCTTTTGCCGAAATAAATAGGAATTCCCCTTGCAGCTTTACTCCACGACGGCGATTGCGGTGGGAGAAGGAGCCGCGAAAAAGCCCATAAATTTAAAAATAAAAAATATAAAAAATGTAATTGTAAAATATTTTATCAAAATTTATTAGGTATTCGAGTAATATAGAGGATGTCTAGTGGAAGATTATCGCCAGATTGGGCTAACAAGATAGGCGTGACCGGTGGGTCCTGCCAACGATTCGTAGCCCGGGAGAATGCTCGGGGGTAATACTCGGGTACAGACTTATCTGGTGGCTTCCATCTAAAATTTGCCGTTAATAGAGATTTCAACGAAATTTAATCTGTGTTTTGGAAATTGGACGCGAACGAATTATCGTCTTCGAATGGGAGGACGTGCCAGAAGAATCAGGGAAATTTATCAATATCTACAAAGACTATCGTCGCCATATACTTATTATATTACTGGAAACATAAAAAATGATGTAATAGATAAAATTTCCAGCGAAAACAGCTGGTATTTCGCAGATTAAATTGGTGATGCGAGAACTTTCTCATAACATTAAGATCTGGAATAATTCCAAATTATTATTCAGTCGTTTTTTTGAAAGTCCTTACGCCCTTGTAAATTCAATAATAAAAATTTTTGAATTTTGAATTTTAATATGCCGATCAATTATTCATTCATATATATCCTATATATATTATTTTCTTCCCAGTCGAAAGTCACGATATTCATCATTTTCGGTGTATCTTCTACGTTCCTAAGTGATATGCGGCCAACGTGGCGGGTTTTTCCACGTTGGAGAATTTTTTATTTGGCATTCCCTGTCCAGGGCCTAAAATAACGCGTTTATCGGGTGAAAGTGCGCGGAAGGAGAAATTTTTGTATATTTTATAAGAGTTAAAATAGGAAAGAGTGGAAAGTAATCAATTATTTTCATTGTAGTGACGGGTGTGACTTCGCCACTTCCCGCTTATACGTATTCGGCAGTGGCCAAACCCATACCGAGAACGTATCTGGATTCGCCTCTGCAATCCCTGGTGGCTTGCAGGCCTCCCTACCTGACAGGTAAGTTAATCGTCTTCCGTAATTAATTCTCTTGGTTTATATTTACTTATTAGAAATAATATAAATAATTTTCTTTCCGCCAAAGTTATTTATTAACGAGCGAGTGTTTGCGTGACAATATTAACGTAAAGACAGAGAGAGAGAGAAGGAGTAATTTTTTCATTCCGACGATCGACTAAAGGATTGCAAAACGATTTTTATATTTCGATTGGGAGAAAAATAAACGCTGATTGATAATATATGCGGAGGTAATCGAAAGGGGAGAGAGGTAAAATCATTTAAATTGGAGTCGGAGGTACTTAAAGAAATGTTAACGGCTATCAACAGATCAAACTGTTTCCTTAAACGCTTAATGGTAGATTTGGTCGAATCGTCTGTCTTCAGTTTGCTTGTCATTTATCGCCAGTTCCTTAAACGTCGAGCCGACTGCGTAATGATCGGGCCGAGTCGCTAAAGAATTACGCGTAATTACATTCAATCATCTGTCGTGTAAGACCTTCTGCTGTGATGACCGAAAATGAGTTGCCTTCCGCCCCTCTTCGTCTTCCTCCCCTTTACGACAGTCAATTTCCAGTAGTCAGTTTTACCGTTCCGTTTATTGAAAAGTCATAAGTCCATTTTCCGTGCAGTTGCCGACAAATTACATGATCTGTTACCTCAGACGGAAGTAATCGTCAAACGAGACCTCCTCCTCTTTCTCATTCGTCCAATCTACGCCAACGGACGAGGTAGATGCTCCGTTTGGCGCGCATTCCTTTCCGCCGACATTTCCGCTGCTTACAATTGGAATTGTTGGACCGTCGCCTTTCCTTTGCACATTAATATGTCGCAAAGGACAAAAAATAATAAATAACCACTGCCGCTAATTACGTGCAAGCGGAAATTCGGTCTTTTCTTATTTATCGTCGGGCGCCGCATTCGAATGGTTGTTTTCGATTGAAGGAGAGGCGCGTGTAAGAGAAGTAGATGATAGGAGGGAGCGAAGAAAGGAACGTACGGCCCGGCCGTATTCAATTTGACTTTCACACACCGATTGGTCTTCGTCGACCGGGTGCAATATTGATACAGTTTCGGGGAGGGCCGGGGGCGCCATTCCGTTAGAAAAACATTAGTATGAAGCGGTGCATGTTTGAGTCGCGCAGGGAAACTCTCTCGGACATATCTTATCCGGATCCCTCCCGAGTTAGAGAACTATTCGTCGCCTTCCCGGAATTGTTTTCCGCTTTTCTGAACTCGATTCCACGCCGCCGGAAATTCCCTTACAATCGGAATAAGTAATTGGCTCCCACCATAGCACATAGAATATGAAAATCGTCACGAGCGCGTAAAACATCCGTCAATATGCGATTTTACTATTGGTAAAAATATAATCGGTTGAGTGTGTCAAAAACAGATTTGATGTCGGAAAAAATTGCATATTTCTTCAGTGATTTTCCTCCTTTCTCTGATATTTCGTACTGAAAATATTAAGATCAACCGGTGAATAAGAAAAAAATAAAATAAAATAAAAAGTCGCCTGCAACGGAAGATGGGCGGAAGAGTCGACGTTTATACGAAAATAAACACAAGTCAGTAATGTTAATCGATTACTCCCGGCTTTCACTTATTAAATTTTTGTCCCGTCTTCGGCCGGCTTCTCCTGACCAATTTTAAGGGGAAAGCGGAATTATTTATTAATTGCGCTTTGTATTCAAAAGATCACATTTGGCAACATTATTAGCAATTATCCTAATTATTATCTATTTGTATTTGCCGACTGAGACTGCAATCTGTTCAACTATTTAAAATGGAAGTGTCTCTTAACAGAAATGGATGTCTATTAATTAAAATGTGATTAACGATAACTTGTCTCGGTGGGAATTCTAAATACAAAGTTGGCGGGCGTTTGGTACTCGCCGGGTCATTAATTCGCCGAGGCAGATAATGATTCACTCCAAAGATAAAATGGTTTGTTTCTACGCTTTGGTCAAAGTTTATAACAAACTTTGCGCGAATATATCATTTCTACTTAGAATAGTAAAGTCCATTCTCACCAGTTGATTACGGTAAATGCAGAAAATTGGCACGGGTCGCCAGATTTATAGCTCCTCCTTTGTGATCGCGTGACGTAACCAGTAACAATAGTTGCGTATCTCGGTAACTTCTTTCCTTTAGGCCACAATTTATCAAAAAACTGTCTTCGTCTATTCCGTAAAAACATTTCTTTTAATTAATGCTTTCAACCAGTAACAATTTTCAATTATTTGCTTTTTCATTTATCTTCTAACCTATTTTCTCTTTTTATATACAGTCTTGTTGCTTAAATAACACCACCATTACCACGTCTTATCTGCTTTCGTTTAATTTATTTTGATATAAGAAAAGTATTTCCAGCGCGATCAGATGTTTTTTTTTATTAAAAAATGAATAAATTATTCTCTAACTCATGGCAAAAATCGCAAGAAATTATTATTATCTTTAATGAATAATTAAAATCGCTCACAAACAATTGTGTACAGAAGCGCGAGAGTTACATGATGAAAAGTATCTAATTTTTTATTAATGTAAAATTATATAATTTTAAATAGCCTATATGCTGAAAAAGATTCCAAAATTAGACTTAACAGATATTATGTATAATATTTATATAAGTTATATTAAATAATTAATAGTAGTGATGTATAAAGAAGCTTAAATAGAATTGCGGTAACCACCTATGTTCTTAAATAGACTAAAGCAGACATTTTTAGAACATAAACTAATTTAAATCGTTGATACACTTAAATTAGAAATGATAAAAAAATTCAATTTTAATATTTTTATTGAAATTATTCTTTCTTTTTATAGGGTTGCAGCCCCTTTAATCTCTTGAAAATCTAATCCGTCAATAAGAGCGTAACAGTGCTACCGACGGATTAGATTTCCTGTTTTTATTTAAATATAATTATTTAGGCAACTTTATAACACGCGCATTATATTTTATATGTATATAAGTGTATAACTATAATACGTCGGCTACATTTTAAATCCCTAGACTTTTCGTATAGAATTGCTTAATGTTCCAAGTTTTTGTATAAATTTGTTCCTTGCATTTTATCAAAGAATCGCCTCTTTCCGGTTTGCATTACGAATTAGGGGCCATTTTATGTAGTTGTAGACATATTTTCTAGTACAATCTATCAAAAATATTCAAATTTCACTCGATAATGATGTACGGAGGGTGCATATAAAACCGCGACAAAGGTTTTCATCAAGTTTTCTTGAAGAAAAGAATTTATGAGTACGAAATTTTATTTAATAATCTTTCGAAATTCAATATTTTAAAAAATATATTCTTTGCTCGAAAGTAAGAATTTAAGACTGAGTAGTTTTATACTTTAATCTATTTTAGATTAAGTGAAATAATACGGAAAAAATTTACATATCCAGAAAAATTATCAATCACTAAATTCACAATATTACTAAATTTCTGAGTTTTCATCAATTAAATACGTCAAATTTACACATTTATTTTTATTTTTATAAAATATAAGAAAGAAAAGAAATTCTCGATAATAAATAAATGCCTGTAGCATTAAAATTATTTTATCTCGATCGAAAATATGAAGATTTTAATGAATTTCCTTCGAGAGTAATTCTGTTTCTTGCTTAAATTGAAAGAATTGGCGAATGAGTAATTTAATTTCGAATGAAGTAAATAAATACAATAAATATCAGTTTAGCGAAAAATTTTAAATCCCAGAAAAATTAATCAATTTTTACAAAGATCTTTACGGCTGTTTTCCAGGTTTATTAAATTGGCTTCATCAAAAGTCGATATTTTTTTTCTAAATAGCGCAATTATCTTAAACATTTGCAAGCGTTTTGTCCGTCTAGAAAAAAGAAAAAGAAAAAATATGGGCAAATGTCCACATGCCCCTTGTAACTGTGGGATCGTTCCATCTTTTCAGCATCATAAACTTTCTATTGGCTCATTTCCAGCACGTATTCTAGCATTAATTTACTGCCTAGTTTGGGAGTCGTTGACAGGGGGTAGAATGCATCGCACGAGCGAAACTTTGAAGCAAGGATAGAAAAAAACTACTCCATTGTCAAAAGTAGGAGGCGCGAGAGAGTAAAAAAGCACAATGGAAGTTTCGGTTCAGACCGTTTAGCAAAGGTTTGCTCGCTTTCTAGAAGTGGACTCGGCGTAAACAAAGGCACAGGTGTTGGTCTGGCGATGAGGTTTGTCGGAGCGTGCGAGGGATATGATCGCACTTTGACCACAAGCCATTGAACACGGATGGATGTGAGGATCGTTTCTACCCTTCGGCTTATGAAAGAAGCATTAGTCTTGGGCCGTTCCGTAACAAAGTTGTAAATCACCAAAACTATAACGCATGTTAACCGCATACGACGTTCGCAACTTACGCACGTTTCTGAGTTATGTAAGCACGAACTTACGCCTTGTGGCTTTTTCTAAGCGCGGAGATTTTCAAATAAATCATCGATTCGTAACTACGTATAACGGCATTATTTAAAAAATACAAAGCAAGAAAATTTCGCTTTCCGCTCTTTCTTAAATATTTAATAAATATCTGCAGAGAAAAACAAGCTTGTGTTTGTTTATCATATTTGTAGAAGACTTTTTAATGACAAATTAACATTCTTCAATAAATTATTCGGAAATCGGCAGGTTTTTTCAACAGAATAGAAGAAGAAAGAGAAAAAACAGAAGAAAAGAAAAAATTCCACCGTGTGATAATCTATCATATTAATTTACCACACTAGATTATTAGTTTTTCCAAAGAATTATAGTAATTAATCAACGATTATGATTAATAGCCGTGTTTTAATTAGAGTCAATATAGCCTAATAGGTTGCTTGTATAATTTGATTTTTACAATTCGCAATTTTTTAACGCCGAAATTTTAATTTTTTTCGAAAAATAATCTTAAAATTTAATAATTTAAACAGCTTTTAAGCAAAACGAATTTGATTTTTTTCTGTTTATTATATACTTTATCGAACATTTTATTTAT